CCACAAATGCCCCTGATACATGCCAAACAATTAGAAGGATCGATTATCCTAACTTTTCAAATCGCAGCATAGTTTTAGGAGCAAAGACCAAAATAACTAACACCATGCAGAATAGGAGAGCAACCAAATGCTAGGACATCTCCCAAAACCAATTTCAATGGTCTGGACATAGTATAAAATTTCCATAATGGAGTCACCGAAGAAGGTTTTATTTAAAACAATGGGCAGCTAAGGATAAAGCATAATTCTAGGTAGCTATACATCCAGGGGTTCGGGGCATCAGAAGTGAAATTTTCCCATTCCCCACGCGAAGATCATTGATTATATTTAGCTTCATCCTAAAAATGAATTCAGTCCCCTTGGGACTTCAACCCGAGATTTTCCCTAAAGATCACTGTCACATCCAAAACAACATTCATCAATCTGAAAAATGCAAACTGGATATTCATAGATTTATCAACATATCTAACATTCATCAGCTATGGGCAAACAGCATGTTAAAAGTTAAGATCTTCTCCTCACAAAACTACAAAAGCTAAATAATATCTCATTTCAATCCTTAGTTTTAGTGCCAGCCAAAAGGCTTCATGTCATAAGATAGAATTTAAAGATACAAGAATCTCAAGGTCAGATCACAAAAACTTATCTCAAAAATACCTTTGCTACAACTGTAAGTATAGCACATGCCAGATCCTCTATCCCCAGCATGAAGATCTGCTTCCAGCACCCTCCCAACAGGACCTGCAGCAGCACTGCAACCAGCCCCAAGAGAAAAATGCATGCGACTACAAAATGTCTTCACAGCTTTGTAATCATGGAGGACAATTATATAGTCCATAAGCTCACCCCCAATCTGGGAAACAAGGAGAGGAGTGACAAGAATAAAATTTCAGCATTGAATTAATTGATTTTATCTTAGAAAAAAATGATGCCAACTTTATCGTAGAAGAGGTAAGAGACTTTTTTTGCTTCAAACACAAGCATATCTTGGAGGTTTTTATGCTTCTGTTGCATTTTCAAAGATAAACCTAATGTGTTGAAAAGTTTACCTGAGCACCCCATCCTAAGCCAACCGAACATATTGCAGATGGGGCAGACCATGAACCATCAGATCTCCGAGCAATGACTAAACCAGTGCCAAGTTTGTAAGCAACTATTGCACCAGCTTTGGCAACTGTTAAGATTGCCAAGCCTTTGGCACCTTTCAGAATTGCTAGGGGGATGGACTTCTCAGGATTCAGCCTAGAAACCTGACCATTTCAGAAAGCATAAGCCCAACCGGTTCCTTAATGAAGAAGAATAATGAACAGCTATAATTGAATAACCAACTTTTTTGGCTAGTTGACAATATCATGATGGGATAATGTCAACGGGAAAACATAAATAATATGCTGAATCTTCCTCCACTAGTCTAGAATTGCATAATAAGACAATGTCAACAGAGAAATGTAACTCTACCGCCAAATCTAGGGTTGACATGCAATTAGTGATTAAAATGTAAGGCCTGAGACCAAGAAACAGGAAACTGAACATCTTTCAAACATAAAGAAGTACGAAAACAAGCAGAAAACGCACCTGCCAATAGCTTCTCAACGTATTGGATGCCTTGTATACCTCATGTTCCATGGAGAAACCAACTGGCAGGTTTAACCATCCTCTCGTGCATGTCCAATCCACGACATCATGTTTCGCCACTTGCATAGCATTGCTAATGGTATTAATAAGAACACCTTGCAAAGGATCAAGCCTATCATAGCAGGTATCACAAACCCTTTGTGGATTCCTCTCCCTAAACTTAACAGGTAGCAAACACCGTCCTTTAGTACATGTTCTGCAAAAAACCCCACCACAAAAACGACAATGATGCCTTCCACGAGAAATTGCTGTAAAGGGAGCAGTACACTGCATACAAACTGTAGTAGAACTATCTGGCAACCACTCAGGCGGTTCAGCTTCCAAGACATCTTTGTACACGGTGGTATAATTTGGCTCCAGAAGCGGCGGGGCACTCGGAATATAAACAGAGGAGTGCAGATACGTGTCCCCATTCTTCTCCGATTCCAGAAAGGAAACATTTGAACTGGGCATTCGACCACCACCACCACCACCATGCATTCGACCACCACCACCACCATCTTTATTCTGGCCAGTTAAAATGGCAACTATCCCACTTAATACATTTTTCAAGTTGACCTCTGGAAGCCTATTGAAATTTGCAGAAAAACGAGGATCGTCATCGTCATCAGTTGAACCATCAAGGTAATCCCGATTCGGCACGGGCCATAAGGGATCATCGGAATAGTCCTCAACATTAGGGTATGCATTCTTCCCCTTTTCTACCTTACAGAATTGAACTTTCCCTTCAAAACTCGCCATTCGCAGCAGCTAAACCACATAAAAACTGATTTCACAACCAATAAAAAATATATTAATAATAATTCGAAGGAGCTGAATCCGTTAACACGAAGAATAATTTAGTTTTACAAAAACGAACAGCATAAGATTTGATTCTAAATCATTAGGGTTTTTCGTTACCTTTATTCAATATTGGGAGAATTGGAACGACAGCGTACCTTGCAATAAGTCTGATCCAAGCTTTGAGATTTTCACCTTCTCTTTTTTCAATCGTCGACGGACAACAACCACAAGCAAAAGGAAGGAACGGAGGTAGAGATGATTGGATTAGATAGAGAAGAAGCATACGAAACTCGGTATTTATATTTATTATTACGTATATTATTTATTGTTTGGGCTTTGGGACTCATCCATGACCGTTCCCTATGGGCTGGATCTTTTCTATTTGCTGGCTTCGATCTTATTGATAAAGTTTTGAATATGAATATTTTGGATGGTAATTATTTTTAAAAATATTTTTTATTTAAAAATATATTAAAATAATTATTTTTTATTTTTTAAAAATAATTTTTAAAATTAAAATATTAAAATAATTTTAAAAAAATAAAATTAAAAATTAAAATTAAAAAAATATGTTTTTCAAAAACACTTTTAAAATATAAAAATAAATAAACTTATAATTAATAATAAATAAACTTGTAATTAATGAGTATCATAACACTAACAAATATTCTTACAAAGTTTATTTATTAGAATATCTTATTCATTGAAAGAATGGATCTCAATTGTGAATATAGTAAATCCAATACTTTATTTTTTTCTTAAAAATAATAATTTTAAATCAAAAAACTTCTAAACAAAGGCAAAAATAGATAAAGATCAATCGAATAGATTGAAGAAAAAAATGTGTGGGAATAGTCATCTTTTCTATAATATTTTAACTTCATCAGATCATATAATTATAATTTTATACGTTTAACCAATATCAAATAATAACATATATTAAATCTTAATACAAACTAAATTTATTCTTTTCAAATAATTGTATAAATAATAACAGTTTAACTTGTCAAGAACTTCTATTTTAAATAGAATTAAATTTTATGATTATTTGTATGAATTCAAACTCTAGTCGGTTACTCTGATCATAACTTCTTTTTTTCTCGTTTTAAACATGAATAATTATTATTCATATTTAATTAATATTGAATGTTTATGTTTTATGTAAACATGCACAGAAACATATAAAAGAATGCTTTCATGCTTGGAAAGTTATCAATCAAGATATATATATATATCACGCTTTCTATTCTACCCGGCTCTGATTTCATTCAACAAAAATAGAGGATAATGGATGCATAGATAGCCCACTTCAATGGATTTTGAGGGGCGGTGCAGGAGAAAAGAAAACGTTCAAATCCACTTGAATGAATTTGAAGGTTAAGAATGATGGAGATGGTCTCGAAGTCGCGTAACGTGATGCTAAAAAATTTAAGATTTATATAGTAGGTTTTAAATTTAAGTTAGGATACGTATTTTAAATTTAAGTCAAAATATATTTTTTTTTTTGTAAGAATATGAGACAATCAAAATTTTATTTATTCACTTAAACCTATAAAATATATTTTTCAATAAATAAAATTTCTTTAAATCTAAAAAAAATAATGGTGATGATTTTTGAGTTTTTGGATTGGTGTGATTTAAAAGAATCTAAAATTAAAAATTAATTTTAATTTTTTTTATATTTTAATGGTTTAGTCTCTAAACTAATCGTGTTTTGATTGTTTTCTCTCTTCTAAAAAATACATCATAACAAATTTAGTTTATTCAAAGGAAATTCTGGAGAGTTTCTTTACAATGTTCTTAAAGGAAAGGATTATCAATGTCCATTAATGGATTCTGTAATTGGTTCAAGCCCTTATTTTATAAAATTGTTTGTGTTCAGTTTTTCATTTTAAATTTTCAGTTCATGTTAAGCATTGAACAGAGAATGAAAGGATGGGTGCAAGCCTCCCTCTTGATATCATCTTCCACATTCTCACAAAACTGCCTGCGAAGTCTCCATTGCGATTCAAATGTGTAAGCAAAAGCCCGCTGATCTCCAGTTCCTGATCCACAATGAACCTCTGTCCAGCAGCAGCAGACAATCATGTTAAAAACCAGAGGCAGAGACTTATTCTCACATCTCCTTCTCTTCTCCAAGTTTACACTGCTGACCATGAAGCAAACAACGATGCCAAAGCAGCAGAGGTTGATTATCCATTGAAGAACAGGGGCTTTGACCTGGTCACTTTCATTGGATCTTGTAATGGCCTGATGTGTGTTCGTCCTGATCCAGACACCGTGTTGCTATTCAATCCTTCTATCAAAGATGTGCTCCGCTCCCTCTTGTTTGTCAACAAAATTTATGCACACAAGCTTTACCCTAGCATTATCATATTAATTGTGCATGAACTGAATAAAAAATAGACCTTTAATTAATGAATAGTTTTATATTAATTAAATTCAATAATTCAGCTTGATTGGATTAAATTATATTATATTTTACAGAGGCTAATTTTGATCAGATCTTTTTTACAGGGGGTAATTTGCGGAATTGATAAAAGTACAGGGGCAATTGTGACCTGTGAGGGTTCATCCAAATCCAAATCCAATCCAATAACCCTAAAATCGAAACCCAGCCGCCGCCTCCTGTTTCTATATTACACTGATGAAACGAAAACACAATCCAAGTTCAGGCAGTCTCTCTCTCCTGCCAATCCACGGCCGCAGCTTCCAACCACCAGGGCTTGTTGCCAATTCTATTCTACCCTATTAACCGCGTCAGTGACCATTCTACTTCAATCTCTTTTATCGGCCTCCAGTTTCTCTTTATCTTTTATTTGTTATACGAATTGCTCCATCTCCCTTTTCAGGTTCGTAATGCCACCAGTTTTCTTGTTTTCATTTTCTCGGCAACCATGGATTCATGCAATTAAGTTTTAAAAACAAAAAAAAAATATAGGTTTAATTAAAGTAAAAAATTTGTGCGATTGATTTTCACAGTCTTCACGCCATCGAGTTCGGAGGTCGCCGTATTCATTAGGACGAGATTTATTTTCTTACATTGTGCATTATTCATCTTTTTAATCCAAAAATCAACTCGGATAGTAAGATCTATGTTAGGGTCCTATCTCTATGTTAAATGTGGGGTAATAGAATTGATTGATGCATGATTCTTAAGGATGTCCATGCGACATTCTTCTTAAGGATGGGATATTTATCATGGATTTTGTCTTTAAATTTGAATGATATTTGAGTGCGTATGGTGAAGGAATGCATGCTTGTATGAATACTTTCAGGTTAACTGGAAAACCAAACCTGAGCCTACAAGTTCATTGATTGCCAGTTTTAGGTTCAGATTTGCAGAAATGCCTAACCTGATTTCCAGGTTCAGGATATTGTCGGGGTATCAAACTCTGAACACCTCTACAGGCAGCAAGTTACTATAAAACTAGTTAGTGAAGCCAATAAACCGTAATCTGATTATTAATTAGATTGTGAATTTTGGATTGAGTGTAGATCCGATAAAAAAAAAAAAAAAAGGATGCCAGATGATGTTCGGGAAAATTGCGCAAGGGCTATGAGTTCCCCACTTCCACGTTGGGACATTGATATAAACCAAAATCATATCTCCCTTCCTGATGGCAAAAATCTGATCTAATATTTAGTTTAGTATCTTGTCTGTGTCTTCCAAAGACTCCTTTTTAATTTACGTGAAAGCTTAGTGTTTTTTTTTTTCGGAGGATAGTGGAGGTCTTAGGTGATGGCCATGGTCGCAGCTGCTAAAATGATGATTGGGATATTGTGCAAGGGCTTTGAGTTCCATTTTAATGGAATTGATGAAATAATTCATATTATACCCTCTGATTACCAGCAGCCAGCAGTTTGATGGGTCTTTACAGTGTATCCAATTACCTATACTAACTTGGCTCTTGTGCCACTTCTTTGATCTATAATCCTATACATGCTCTTATTAATTCCTGGAATTTGCGTCTTAGGATTGAAGATGACCCATTTGCCAGATTAACATTCTTATAACTATAAGAAACTAAAACAATTAACTCGTGGAGTGAAAAACTTAGGTCTTATTGTTCAACTATCTATTTAGATTTGTTAAAAGAAAGAGTTTTTCTTTGGTTATCTTCCTCAGAAACAAGAGTTTATGCTCGATGCCCATCTAATGAATGCATCTTTGTGAAGATTGTGGCGCTGCTTGTGTCAATTTCCGCCTGCTGGACTGGGCTCTTGCAAACCAGCTTATTTTGGATTGGGCATATTGGGAAGATTATTCTTTTGCTTTCAATTTAATAAACCTCAATTCTTTTTTCATGTTTTTTTTATTGGGTTCATTTATTTTGTATTTGATAATAGTAGAAATGCAAAATGAAATAAATATTAAAAAGATGAAAATATAATATAAGAGAACAATTCATCGTGGGTTCATGTTTTGTTTTGTTTGGATTGGTTTTATACAAGCTTTTGTGATGTTGAGTTGATGTATAATTTATTTCAGCTTAGGGATTTAATTTTAAACTCAAATAAATAAATATATTTTTTAAAAAAATATATTTATCTTCTTAATTTTTAGTTGTTTTATTTTATTGAAAGCATGTATAAAAATTTTAGTTTGCAATAATGTATTTTATGGCATTAACAATGCCATTCTATTTTATTTTTTTGCGCTGAAAAAAAAAAAATCCATTCCACAGCATGGCGCCGAATCAAACTACCATCCATCAATATGTTAAGGTCGAAGCTTTCTGGCTCATCTCTCCTCTAAAAACAACAAGATCTCCACTCTGCATGCTGTCGCCGAAGTCAATCTCATCTCTCCATTAAAACTCGATGCGAACATCCCTGTGCATATCGTTCTCGAAATCAATCTTGGGTATTCCCATTAGATAATTATTAGACTAACAAGTTACAATAAGGGTCAATTTATCTAGCTCATTTCTCTAATTTCTGAAGGGGGGTGTAAAAAAAAGAGAGCAAGCCTCAAATTATTATTATTATTATTACTATAAATTACTAAAATTACAATAACAATTATTATTATTATTATTATTATTATTACAAATTAAAATTACAATAACAATTAAAAAAAAAAAAAACTAAGTGTGGCTATCACTGTAGCAGTAAAGATAAATCACTAAATTATAATTGAGGTTTTGGGAATAGACAAATATTCAGTTTTTTTTTTTTCTTGATAGATTAGGGTCTGAACCCCCCGGGTCATTTGAATTTTTATATTGCTTCATATTAAGTTTTTATTTTAGATTGGATTTGAAGGTTTGTTTTAATTTGCTAAATATAAGTATCTTATGATGTTTAGAAAATTTGTTGACACTCATTGATGATCAATTTTGTAAAATAATTAAGTTTAATCTATTTAAGAGAATTAAGGGTTGGCGACAAAATTTAAGACCAAAACAAATGTTTAGCCTTATTCTCTACAAGTCAGAGGCTAAATTGAACGGGCAGACTGAAACTTGTTAGCGCGCGTAACACAGGTGCTAGCATGTGAGGTAGGTTGCTTCACTCTAGTGGTAGGTGCAGTGGCTACTGATCTCCAAATATTGTTTTTCTTGGTGATTTTGAAATTATTTATGTGAAGTCTTTATTTTTTTAAGCTTGCTTCTTGAGGAGCGATGGTGTCGTACTAGTCAATCATTTTTATTTTTTTTTATTCTCTCATCCATCCTTAGTTCTCTCCTTACTTTGTTAAAAGTATTAGAGTGGGATGCCAGATGCCACTTGTATATTATGTAAAATGTAGTTTTTGTTTTTTTAAATTTTTTTTCCATTTATATTTCATCATTGAGTTAGTTCGGGATCAGGTTTTATATTTTTTTTTCTTTTTATAAGATAATTCTAATCTTATGGCTTGAGTTGCAGGTTTAAAAGATTGACTTGAGTTTACTTGGGTCATTATTTTAGAATCTTTTTAAAAATTTATTTTTTAGATTTTTATCTTCTCTACTGATCTCCAAATATTGTTTTTCTTGATGATTTTGAAATCATTTCTGTGAAGTCTTTATTTTTTTTAGGCTTGCTTGTTGAGGAGCGATGGTGTCATACTAGTCAATTATTTTTTTTTTTATTATTCTCTCATCCATCCTTAGTTTTCTCTCCTTACTTTGTTAAAAGTATTAGAGTGGGATGCCAGATGCCACTTGTATATTATGTAAAATGTAGTTTTTGTTTTTTTAAATTTTTTTTCCATTTATATTTCATCATTGAGTTAGTTCGGGATCAGGTTTTATATTTTTTTTATTTTCTTTCTATAAGATAATTCTAATTTTATGACTTGAGTTGCAGGTCTAAAAGATTGACTTTTACTTGAGCCATTATTTTAGAATCTTTTTTAAAATTTATTTTTTAGATTTTTATCTTCTTAACTTATAGCTGGTTGAGAATTGAATTTCATAATTTTTTAAAATAAATTTCTATGAATTTATCCTGAGCTTATGACTTAGGATATGGGTTTGACAAATTTTATCAAGTTAACTTGAGTTTTTTTTTTAATTGATTTTTTGTTATATTTTGTCTGTCAATACGTAGTTGATTGAGAAGTAAATTTTATAATTTATTATAATTCACTATCTATGAAATTATCACAGTTTAATGACCTGGATCATAAGTTTTATAGGTTAATTAGAGTTAGCCTGTGTTGAACTAATATGTCGTCATCTTTATATTCTTTTAAAAAAATGTTAAATGTATCATCATATCAATATTTATAAAATATATCGATTAATATGCATCATATTTTTTTGCTAGAAAACATGTTTGAGACGCCTTAATATTTTGTTTACATTTTAAAAAAAAAATTGATCCTAGCCACAATGTAGTGTAAGTTAAGGATCTAGTTAACAGACTAAAAAATGAGCACAAAGACATTGCTCACTCAAACAATGCTTTGTTTTTTTTTTAGATTTTTTAATTTTATCATTTGATATTTAGTTTACTTGGGATTGAGTTTTATAATTTATTTTATTTTTTTAATGGATTTATCTCTGTCTTATAACTCGAGTCACAAGTTTGGTGGGTTAATCCATGATAACTGAGTTTTTTTGTCATTTTTTATTGATTTTTTTTGTTTCATCATTTAACTTGTTGAATGAGATTTGAACATCATAATTTATTTTGATTTTTTTTTATGTGATTATCTCAGTCTTATAACTTGAGTTATGGTTGTGACGGGTTCACTTGTGTTATTTTTTGTTTTATTTTTTTAAAAAAAATTATCCTTTAATAATGAGTTGATTGATGATTGAACTTTATAATATATTTCAATTTGTTTTCTATAAGATTATATTAGTCTCATGATCCAAGTTGGTGGTGTGGCAAGTTAACCTATGTTAATTTAAGTTATTTTCTTTTTGTTTCTTTTTGTAATTGAATTTTTTTAATTTTATCTTTTAATATTGGATTGATTGATAATTGAATTTCATATTTGAGGTCGTCATTATCTCATGACCTGAGTGATTAATTTAATAGGTTAATTTCAGTTGACTAAAGTTAATCTAATATATTGTTATCTTAATATTTTTTTTAAAAACATTATCTTGAATATTTTTTTAGTTAAATATATTTTTATAAATTATCTGAATTACTTTTAGATAAGTGAAATTAAACGATTTTTCTATTAAAAAAAAATGTTAACAACACTTAGATTTTTTTATATTAAAAAAAATTCTGGCCATATTATAATACATATCATTCTAGTGTACTCTAAAAAGCTAGGGTTCTTACCTAAACTTCAATCCAGGGAATTGTTTAGGGATAAAACTTAGAATACCAGTATAGTATAGGGATTTTTTTTAGATTTATCATGAAAAAAGACATAGATAACATTCAATAGAGAGACAGGAAATAGGTGGCATGAACATCAAAACTAGACTAATTTGTGTTTGGTTTGGAGACAAAATATAATAAGATATTATAAATGACTTCTTTAATTGTACATTGTATATATTTGGACTATATTTTGAAAACGTGTTTTTTTTTTATTTCACCAACTTTTGATAAAATTTAATTATTATTCAAAGAAAAAACTATAATTTAAAAATTAAAATGGAGCATCTACTCTATTAAAATACTTTATAATAAATATTTTAAAAAGTTTTTAACTCTATTTTTTTTCATTATAAAATGTTTAAACACTCTCCTAGACCTTCTAAGAGTAACTATAACCTCACAAACTCGAACCTTGATGATAAAAAATGTTCAAGAGGATGACAAATTATTTTCCCAGACAAATGATATTTCGTTTGTTTTATTTAAAAGAAAAAAACTTAAGAGAATGATGAGTATTTTCTATTTTTATTGTTAATAAATAAATAATTATGCATGGATGTGATTTCCTTTCAGTGAGCAGGCTTAACCTTTATTTTTTTTTAATTTTTTTGAATTTAATTTTTAAATAATATCTCCTCTCTAATTTTTTTTAAATAATTAATTGAACTATTTTTAAATAGTAATTAATATTTTAAATGGTTTCTATAATTTTATAATATCTTAAATTTGAGATAAATTAGTTGTATTTGCATGATGCATTTATAATAACAAAAATCTTATTTACTAGGAAGCTATAATAAACCTCCATTAAAAAAAATATACAGAATAAAAAGGATAAATAAGATAAAATATTTTCATGTGCATCTATCTCTTATTTTTTACTAGAAATATCTCATGCTTTAATCTTTAATTAACATTCCCAACTATTTTTGCGATTGATCAGTTAGTATAATTTTTAATTTATTGTATTGAATACATATATTATTATTTTTATTTTCCAATTAATAAATCTTATAATACCAAAAAACACATCCATATATCTTCTTATTTTCTAGCTTTTTTTTCTACATCAGAAACTTAAAAATCCTACTCGTAATATAGTATGGGTAAGTTGGGTGGCGGAGATTTTTAGAGATTATTTGGTATTAATAGTATTTTTTTTCTCAACCACATAGAAAAGGCAATTTGATTAACTAAATAGCTTTTATTTTTTTCATTGGACTCCACACATAATTGCATTTCAAACCCTAATTTTATAAAAGCTAAAATATCACACTTTTTATTCATGGATACATTTTTTTCATTTATTTGCTTGGAAAAATAAATCTTATAAAATTTTTAATTAAAAATATTTTTTTTTCAATTTATTTTTTTTAAAAAAGAACTAGAATTATTTTTTAAAACCTTTTTTAAAAGCCATCACAAAAACTACTATAATGGGAAAGTTATGTAATTTGACTAGCCTTCAACCTAATTAATAAAAGACGAAGCCCGGCCCAACAACCCGAACATGGCATTGGAAACAAAACCCTCCCTTCCAAGTTCCCATCAGGCACCTAGACAATAAAACACGCAGAACGCCACCATAGAGCAGAGAAGCTCCAAAAGGGAAACTAGCACAGGCTGAAAATCTTAAGAGAGCCAAGGAAAGATGATTATCCCAGTTCGTTGTTTTACTTGCGGCAAGGTACTTACTTTATTAATTATCTTCTTTAATCACGGGGTGCTTTCAATTTCATTCAATTTTTCAGCTTATTCCTCGCCTGTCATGATTTTATATCCGGAGAAGAAAATAATAATTTGTTTTCTTATTGTTTAGCGGTTATGTTTAGATATTGCATTTAATTTCTTATGATTATTTTTTGTTTGCGTTTTAGGTGATTGGAAATAAATGGGACACGTATCTTGATCTTCTTCAAGCCGATTACACTGAAGGGTAATCATGCTATGTATTTATTTATTTCTTAGATTGAACAAAAATAAAATGCAAGAACCCATGTTGTAATCTCGTATGACCCCTAGTTTTTTTATCCACATGGTCACATAGTGTACTCACTCCATTAGAAGGTAATATATATACATTCTTGCTGGAAAATAGGTTGCGAGCTTGACTTTCCAGGAGCTGCCCCCCTCGCAATTATTCATGTTGAGTCTTCTTAAATACTTGCATGTGGCAGCATGCCTCCTGAAGGCAATATGCGAAATTCAGAATGGATGTAAAAAGTTTGTTATTCTAACATTATCAAGATGCTGTTAGTGTGGTTGTGATTTATGAGCTATGTTAGTATTTCATTGTGTAAGGTACAAAGCAGCTATCAAAATGTTGTTAGAATTGCTTCTAACTGATAGTTAACAGTCCTAATAGTCATAATATGGGATGCAAATAGTTAATTGGAACTCATAGAGAACATGTTGAATTCCAAACGTATCTTGGTTCTTCATGCAGAGATGCTCTTGATGCTTTGGGGTTGGTTCGTTATTGTTGTAGAAGAATGCTTATGACTCATGTTGACCTCATTGAGAAGCTTCTGAACTACAATAGTAAGTCTTTCTCTTCTATGTCCCCTTTCCTCTCATAAGTGTGTTGCCATCACACTCATGGATGAAACTGTATTTTTTTGTTTGTGATGGTAGGGTTTATTTTAATCATTTTGCACTCTCTCCTTGGAATAGGGCATGCTAGTTTAGTGAATTTTATTCTGTGAAAATTAACTAAAGTTCCACCCCTAATGGGTCTGGGTCATAATTCAATGTTTTTATGAGTATGTCTAGCTGAATGTGGGGCTGTTAATCCTGCTAAATGAGACAAATGGGTTCACGTTTATATTTTAATGTTGACATCAAGAAAACGAGATGGTGCTTTTTTTTATCCACAAATTGAATTTTTGAGCTGATATAACGTACCAACTCTATTTGCCTCTGAATTTTTTGGTTCATTCTTCTTATCACTGACAAATTATGCCCGACAGCTCTGGAGAAAAGTGAGGGCAGTTGAGAAGCTCATTGCATCATGGTTGGCATGAAGCTGGTCATGGAAATTGATGATTAATTGTTGGATGTGTGGTGAATATGGTGAAAGTAGACACGGGACAAAGCTCAAATACTGTATAAACTTTTAACCACTCTTGCCTTGCACACTTCGTTCTGGAACCTAGTCACTGTTTTAAGACCAAGGTTTTGGGAAGCTTATCAATCATTTTAAATGCCTGTTGTGCGATGCTGTTGGCAATATTCTTTCAAATGTGATGCTTTATACGATGATCAATATAGTCTGGTTGCAACCTAGTGGCTGGGTACTAATAGAAGTGATGAATAGCTTTTCATGAGTATATATAATTGGACAGTATGATTTATAGGCTAGATGTTTTGAACGATGCACTTGCTACTTTGGGTTATGATTTCTGCGGGTACAAAAAATAAAATAAAGTAAATAAGAAAGAGAGTCGATGCTATTAATATAGACAATCTAAATTTGTTTGTATTTTGTTGAATTTCTTCTTTAAACATGCCAAAGCGGTCTGTAGCCCACATCTTTATCATTCCAGGAGGAATGGAAGACGCTTTATTATTGTTCTTAACTTTGAACGACAGAAGGAAGGGAGTCATCTTCAACGATTGTCGGTGCCTTTATGGTTCGAATCCATGTGACATGTTTAAGATGACAGGTAAAGAAACTTATCAAATCCCATTACAAATTAAATCCCTCTTTTAATGATACACATATGAACCTTGAGTTAATCATTGTTTTCTAACTAGTTATGTATCTTCTAGTTATATGCGTTTATAAACTTTGTTGGCTGATCCCTCTTTTCTTTGGTGATCTTGACTTCTGGTTGCTCAACTCTTCTAGTTAATTAATGACTCTTTCAATTCAACCGATTCTTCTTGTTATAATCGGTTTTAGTTTTTTTCTGTGGTTTTGTGATGAACAATCATTCTTATGTATATTTTATTTTAGGCATTAATAATAATCTAGAATTATATATTCTTTTTTTATTGCAAAAGTCACATGAAGCCTGTTCCAAAGTTTACATGGAATCTCTTCCAACGTTTTGATTCATACAATGATCCACCTGTTCAATCGTACTTCAATAAAGGTGAAAAGACGAGAAAAAGAAAAAAGAAAAACTATGTATCAATTATTTTCTATTAATAACAGCCAACCAAATTGAATTATAATTAGTGTTATCTTAGTGTATTAGTTGCTATGTATTTACATTATTTTCATAAATCATTTAATCTTATTTATCTTTTATTCAATCCCAAATCAAGATCTTTTCAAATCTAAAAAACAACTTTGTTTTCATCCTTTCATTACAAAATCCTAAAAAAAAAAATAACCAAAAGATTAGAAAGAGAATTAAAACAAAGAAAATAAAAGAAGAAGAGTGATGATGGTGATGGTAATTTCCAACAAATAATTTTGACATGTAAAGAAAGAGCTAGACAGACACGTTGGCAATACTGTGATAATTAACTCTATAGGTACTCTGTTGAGTGATCAAAGACCAATCTGCTGAACTTTCTGGGTTTGATGCCTCCAAGTACTTGATTTCCTTATCTGCGTGTCAAATCCGTATTGGAGTAAGTTTGAGCCGAGAAGACCTTGTACAAAATAAGAAATTGGGATCCCAATGCCAATGACCCGTTCAATCATGAGGAGCAGCCCGGCATGGCAGGCATTATTTTTGCACGTAGTCTTTTTTTTTGGATTTACGTGGGGTATCCGTACCAGCTTGCGCGTACCACGATTAATCCCCACGGTACATTGAATACCCTGTAAATCCAGTAGGTATGTAAAGCACCGCAAAGTGACAAATATGCATGTTAGGGTTCAAACCCATATACAATGAAAGAAGACAATTCCTTTTCACCGCTACACCAAATCCTGACTGCAGCAGGGCATTATTTTTGCACGTAGCCGTGGGTGCACCCGCGTAAACAAACCATCTTGGCCGGCGGCTTTCAAAATTCATTTACTGCACGTCACCTTCTCTTGATTTGATTGCATTTATATTCTAGCTGACACATCCTAAAACATACCTATAAGACCCGGCCAGGCTAGCTCGATAACTCGAGGTCTCGATCAGGTTTCAGGTAGTCAAAATCTTTTATATATATATATTTTAAAAAATATAAAATTATTTTGTGAATATATTTTCTAGTATATTTTTTTTTCTAGTTTATTTTATATATTCTCAAAAGATATTTTTTAACATTTTTATGTATGATAGATATATTTATAGTCTCATTTATATAAAAAATTTCTTGATATTTTCATATATATATATATATATATATTCAAATACACAGATAGTGTTTTTAACATTTTCATACATGAAATAATAGTATAAAACTTCCACTCCTACGGGACTCCTTTCCCCACACGAAATTAAAGTCAAAACTACTGTATCCTTTCCAGTTCGATAAGTCACCCTCTGTAACCACAATCTTCTGGTAGCTCCCACGAGCGGACACGGCATTCTCAGATCCTCCTTGGTCTCATTAATGATACCAGATTGTTACACCAAATTTAATTGTAATATTTATGCACTAAAATGTTTTATTTTTATTTTTATATAGGATTAAAATAAGTACACATCTACTTCATATTCACACAGTAATTGAAGAATTTTACTGTGTTTGTGATGGTGCCCCCTATTAAGAACACAATTACGAACGGAAAACTAATCAGAAACTTCAAGAAACCATTGTTCAAATTCAAGATCTCGATTTAAATAAATATATACGAGAACCGATTTTGGAGCATTATCCAGCACAATGTGGTAAAGTATTACAGTTCTACCATAATATTCTATAAATTTTAAGGTATTTAGGGAATAATTAATGACATTATATTATTTATTTTTTTTAAAATAAATATAGCAAGTGAAGATATTCTTATAATTTTTAATGGGTTATAAATTTTATTTTATATTTCATTTTTGTGCCCATGTTTTTCTTTAAGATAAGCCTGAGAAGTAATATGTCATTTAACATCATCAAATTTTTTGAATTAAATCTTGTAATTTTATTTTATTTTATATTCTTTGACAATGAAAAATTGATTTTTTTTGTTTTTTTCTCTTAATTTTTATATCATATATACCTAATGAATAACAAGAAATTTACAGTACAAGAATCGCATGCACATAAATATTACGTATGAAAAATTAGAATGGAATTTTCAGATTTGTTTTGCTTGTACAAGTTTACAACATAAAGTGATGATATAAACCTGAAAAAAAAAAAGACTTGTACAAGTTTACAACATAAAGTGATGGTATAAACCTGAAAAAAAAAAACAATAAAAAATGTGTGGAGGTAGTCATCCAAATTGTGGTTTTCATTTGGTGTGGCTTTGTATCCAAAACTTCTCTGTTTTATTTTTTTTTTATATATATATATATAGTCAAGAATTTGTTTTCCTTTTTTCTCGAAACCTCTCTAGTCTTAAATCTCTCCATTCTTCTCCGTGTCTAAGCTCGATCTTCTTCTCTTTTTCGCTCCTGCTACGCATAAGCAAATAGCTTCCTTCCTTTTGTTCTGACTATCTCTCTCTGCCTAATTATAGCTCTTAATTAATTTAACGCTTCGATCTCTGCAATTGCGCTGTTAATATTTTGATTTGGAGATCACAGAAATCAAGATATTTTTTTTCTTTGTGAATGGAAGGAGAGAAGGAGGAGCTACGGTAATAATAATAATAATAATAATAATAATAATAGTAATAATAAAGAGGAAGAAATGCTGTATTTGAAGCAACCAAGCTCCATTGTATGCAAAGGTTGTGATTCTTTATTTCAATAAATAAATAATTTATTTTCTGTCGTGTTGCATGTTATTGTGATAAATTCCCTGGGCCTGAGGCTCGGGGAGAGAGATCTAGTAAAAATTGGAAAATTAAAGAGAGAGATTGATTGAGAGAGTGTGCGATGGGATCGTCGACGGAGAATGAAGGACCGTCATACTCTCCAAGAGTAAGTAAGACTACAATTGATGATGAAGAAGAAGAAGAAGAAGAAGAGTTACTGCCGCCGCCTGACCAGGTTTCTATGCAGAAATTCAGGCTTTATAAGACTCAATCGGTAGGTGTTTTTTTCTTTTCTTTGAATTGCTTAATTTGGTTTCCATTTCTTGATTTTGGATCGGTTGCAAGTAGATTGCATTGACTTGAAACGTTTTTGGATTTCTTGAATTGAACGATCAAATGGTGTCAGTTTAGCTTAGATGCTAACTGTACAGAGTAGAATCACTCTGTTTTCTCTTGTTGTTTAATGATTTATGCTTGTTACTATTTTTGGATATGTGCTTGTGCTATTTGAATTGCATGAAGTCAAGGCACCTTGATCTGTTAGCAATGTTCTAGATGATTATTTGATTGATTTATCTTGTGTCTTGCAGAACTTTTACATGATAGGGTGGGACAAGAGTAGGACTTATTGGAGAGTGCTAAAGATTGACAGACTCGACCCTTCTGAGTTAAATATTCGTGAAGATTCTACCACGTATACGGAGAGGGAATGCTATGATCTGTTGAGGCGGATAGATGAAGGAAACAAGGCTACCGGTGGGCTTAAATTTGTCACTACTTGTTATGGAATTGTTGGTATGTGCATTTTAGTTGCTTTGTTTTCTCGTTGTGACTGTTAGTGGTGTCACTATTCTCATAGTCATTTTCTCTTTTTAGGGTTTATCAAATTTCTTGGGCCATACTACATGCTACTCATTACAAAAAGAAGACAGATTGGTGCAATCTGTGGTCATAATGTATATGCAGTCTGCAAGAGTGAGATGATTCCACTTCCAAATTCTGCTGTGCAGTCTAGTATCAGTGATTCTATGAATGAGAACAGGTCTTTAGCCCTTTCTTTATTGTAAATATAGCTCATTTATTCCAGTTGCTTGAGAAATCATGAACGGTAAACTAAAAGCTGCACTGGTTGTTATATTTTGTACAAGTTGTTGTGTCCTTCCTCATTATCAGACAGTTCTTTTGCACTTTATGGTTACAAGCTTGTCCTCGGATACATGTACTATGAGTGGCAATAGTAATGAATCCATAGAACACCTCTTCTTATGTTGTTCAGTTTCTTGGAACCTTTTTACGCGAGGCTTTTCACTATCTCCAGTAAGTTTTGAGTTTTCTGGAATACTTTAGAAGAGCTGCACCTAACTGGATTTGCGTGTTTTGGTAAATCAAAAGGAGACAAAGTGTTCATGTCTCAAAAAAATGGAGGCGGATGTTGTGGAAATGTGCTCTCTTGCCTTGATTTGGAATGGTATTTCACTTTCTTGTGGTGCTCTGCCAAAGAAGTTTTTAAGAGGCATTTTCCAAGGAGATATGCAAAGAGACTTGAGAAATTTGGTGGTTTAGCCTTTTTCTATCTGGAGAGATTCTCGTCCTTTCAATCTGTACTTTTTCCTTATTCTAATAAAGCTTTGTTTTTTATTAGAGAAAAAAAAATGCTTACCATTTTTAATTTGGTATTTTCATGAATTAAAAATAAGATGTAGCATTGGTCTCTGATCAACACTATTTTGCCAACAAGATTAGAAATTTCATCTATTCCTTCTAGCAGATTAATTGTTTCAGTCTTTATTTCCTTTTCTGTATTTGTTGGTGCTGTGCTGGAGGAGTTATTTAGGATGAGAAGCATAATGCTTTTGCTTCTTATTGTTTCCTTTTATCCTTGTAGTTTTTCTCACACTCAACTTTAGGTTTCATGGGAAAATGATGTTCTTTATTCTTTCCATAGCTCTTTTTTTTTTTGTTTGTGGTTTCTTTCCTTCTGTAGCAAGAGTTTGAGCACTACTTTCTCAGAGGGTTTGTTGTAAATTTGATTGTCTTTATTTCATTGATGATGTAGGTACAAGAAGCTTTTATGCACGGTGGACCTAACAAAGGACTTTTTTTTTAGCTACTCATACCATGTTATGCGTAGTCTTCAAAAGAACTTGTGTGATAGAGAGACAGGTCAGGTCCTGTACGAAACAATGTTTGTCTGGAATGAGTTCTTGACTCGTGGTATCCGAAATCACCTTCAAAATACTCTGTGGACAGTTGCTTTGGTGTATGGATTCTTTAAACAGGTTAATAGTGGATGGTAGCTAAGTTGCTTAGACTCTGAATTATTTTTCCCCTTTTCAGATGTATTGCTGTTCAAGCATGCTTATTTTGTGAGGTGTACTTTAATTATGTTGTTTATTTCACTGTTGGCTTCATGCTATATAAGTGTAGGCCACACTTTTTGTATCTGGGCGAGAGTTCAAACTTACCCTCATTGCAAGACGTTCACGCCATTATGCTGGCATGAGGTAAGATAGCATGCCTATACATTTTTTTTCCTCCCAAGTTTCATTGTGCTTAGAATTGGAATCATAGGCAGCTGTGCTAAATATTATAATGGCTTCTTATATGACAGCCCTTGCTAAAAGAACTAGAGTAATAAGAATAAGAAATAGAGAAGGAAATGACATCAGGCACCAAGCCTAAAGATGAATTAGGAATGTCTATTTTGTTCCATAACTCACATCTGATGAAATTGATTACCATACATTGCAAAGCAAGCCTTTTCTTTTATTAGTATACAGAATAAGCTAAAAATCTCAAATGGGAAAACTTCGAACTACACCATAATTTGTTAAAAGACCAGGCTTCCTAAATAATATAATGCATCCTTAATAAACTGGGATTTCTCAACAGACTAATGATTTTTAGTTAGAAAAGTAACTACACATTACATAATAACTAAATGAAACAGCCCACTACTCGGGATATGCCAAAACCACTGCTCTTCCCTTACAGAATTTACCCCCAGCTTCAAATTGAAATTCTACCAAGAATTTACCTTGGATATTTATTCCTAGACCAAATACCTGATTGTTGATGAAGAATATACTACCTAGGTTTTTTTTTTTTCATGTTAGGTATATCTTCTTTAACCATAGATGAAGCAGGTTATAACTTTTGTTGTTAGCATTTTTTATATAGAAATTCCGACTATTATCCGAAGAATATGGGCCATTCTGTTTTAGTGGTTACCAAGAAACCATTGTTCTCTACTGCCCTGTATTTTAATGTCATTTCAACTCCTCAATTTCCTGTTAAATAATAATTCGGCTTTATGAGGTTATGATGTTTCTCTGAATGTATGATACAACAATAAGAACACCAACCAACCTCAATCCCAAACTAGTTGGTTTTGGTTATGGTGGTTGTCTGAATTCATGATAATATAAAATATTATTTGATTATCTGCTGGTTGAGTTGATGATTGCTATGACATAGTTAAATATATATTTTAATCATTGTTCTCAACTACCCTATATTTTAAGCACATTTCGAATCCTTAATTTCTGGTAAAATAATAAGTCTCAATTCAGCTTCTGTGGTTATGATGTTTCTCTGAATGTATGATACAACAACAAGACCACCAACCAAGCCTCAATCCCAAACTAGTTGGGTTGGTTATGGTGTTTCTTTGAATGTACGATAATATAAAATATTGTTTCATTATCTGCTGGTTGAGTTGATGATGGCTATCACATGGTTAAATATATTTTGCTGTTTCTTTATTAATTTTCATGTTGGTACACCTCCCATGGGTGCCTCTATATTTAGGTATTTGAAACGTGGGGTAAATGAGAAGGGCAGAGTGGCTAATGATGTTGAGACGGAGCAGATTGTTTTTGAGGATGTTCCTGAAGGATTTCCCATGCAAATAAGTTCAGTTGTCCAGAACCGTGGCTCCATCCCACTATTTTGGTCACAGGAAACCTCACGTTTGATTATTAAACCAGATATTATATGTATGTCCTTGAACGCATGGTATTCATGGTGGTGCTTTATATTTTCTTACTTTCCGCGTGGTTTATTGTCCTTTACCAGTGTCAAAGAAGGACCAAAATTATGAAGCAACAAGACTTCATTTTGAAAATCTTGCAAAGAGATATGGAAATCCCATTATTATATTAAACTTGATTAAGGTAAGTCTCTTATCCAGTGGTTTACATCTCTATTCTTCTTCTGCCGCAAATGTCTTGATCTAGTCTTCAAACAAGAAAGATCTATCTCTAGATAATACTGGTTGTTTATTATAAAAAGTTAGGTGTTTCAGTTGCTTCTGTTAGTAATTTCTCAATTCAGATTTTGAATTATTTTTCCTTTTCTTTTTCTACCTATCATTGTTTCACAATCACAGGCACAAGAGAAGAAACCCCGAGAGTCAATTCTTCGTGCAGAGTTTGCTAACGCTATTGATCATATTAACAAAAATTTATCCGAGGAGAACCATCTAAGATTCCTTCACTGGGATCTACACAAACATTCTAGAACAAGGTATCTCTTTCTAGCTTTGATCATCTTAATATGATATTGATATTTTGGAGGAAAAAAATTGAATCCTTACTGCAATAAACTTGCTTTTTATTGTCCACTTTCAGGAATGCAACAAATGTTTTATTACTTCTGGGGAAAGTGGCTGCATATGCTTTGACGCTAACAGGTTTCTTTTACTGTCAAGTAACATCGGACTTGAAACTTGAGGGGTGTACGGATTCTCCTTTTACTGAGTAAGTTGGTTCAATCACTTTTTCTGTAGCTTCCACATTCATTCACGTTATTTTGAACAACATGACTTATACCTGAAGTTGTGGACTTAGCAATAACTTAAGTTATGACCATGTGCCACTGGTAAAATCCATTATTTTTGTTGTTAGCATTAACTTCTATTACGAGGAGATCTAGTTTTAATCTTCTTTCTGTTGTCATGTATGTTGATTATGGTGCACCCTGCTTACTGAGTGCATGCTATAAAGTGAAAATCCTGGAAATGTTTGTTGTTGCACAGACCAGTGACAGTAAAAAAAAGAAAAAACCTATGGCTGGACCAATGACACAAACAAACCATAGTTTGGATCCCTGGATCTGGGTAGTGTATGCCAAATGGATTTCTAATCAATTTACTGTTTCACATCAGTGCTTGGGTCATGGAAGCCATGTATAGTGGGTGCTTGACGGATGTGATTTGATATGTGAAGACATTATAAAGTTTTTGCTTTTATTCCTGAGTGATCTACTTTTCATGTTTTAATTATGGCAAGTTTGGGCATGCCCATGTGATGCAGGAATGCTGAGAATGGGAACTTATCTCCTCAGTATAACAGTAACAATGATAATGAGGATGGCAGCAACTTAGAGGAGAAATCTAATGGAGGTAACAGTCTTGTTGATGGAGATCATTCTATCAAGTGCCCAATGTTCCAGATGGGTGTGCTCAGGACCAATTGCATAGATTGTCTTGATCGCACAAATGTTGCACAGTATGCATTTGGGCTGGTTGCCCTTGGACACCAGCTTAATGCTGTAGGAGTTGTAGATAACCCAAAAATAGACCTTGATGCACCTTTGGCTGATGATTTGATGGGATTTTATGAGAGAATGGGTGACACACTTGCGCATCAGTATGGTGGCTCAGCTGCTCATAATAAGGTGATTCTAACTAGTAATGCAGATGTTATTAGTTCTAAAATTATAAAAAGTGTTCTCCTGTAGGTTTTGTTTGCTTTTCATTTCTTGTCTTGAAACTTTCAATGTAGATGTGTCAGTGGCTCAGCTTTTTTGTAGAATTTAATTTACTGGTTACAAAGTTAGGAGACTTTATACTCTTGTCATTTAATTCATGAACTATGTTTTAGCTGTGTTGGAATTTGAGGAATGCAATAGGAGAGCGTTCAGGGTGGAAGAGTCCTCCATATCCTCTTTAATAAAATATTGTATTGAGAATTCATGCCTTGGCATGCAAGGAATCTTTCTTTGAAAGTGTAGATGATGCGAAGGAGTTGAGAGATCTTTGTGTATACACCATAATTTTAGAAGCTCAAGTCTATCAAACTAGTAGATTTGTCACATGAAAAAATAATGCTATTGAACAGTTCACTTTGGTCAGAGGATTATTAATAACAGATCTGATTGATGCTGTCTGATGGTTATGTAAAGGCCACATCTTAGAAGAATTATGCTCTTCTTATGGAAGATGTTGGGGTTGGAGGGGTGGGGTGGGGGTGCAACTGTAGCAGAGTAATAATATCTCTCTTGATATTTTATTTGCATCTATATATGCTATGGGTATGATAGTGGGCTTGGGACTTTCTGTTGACCTTGTTGCTAAGCATGTACTTTTGAATCCTCCCCAACTGATAAATACTCTTACTGGTCTCCATAATTTTTATTGAAGCTGCTACTTTGGTTCTTTATGTGATTCGTTATTTCTTCATTTTTTTTTTAACTGTTGATAATATTAGATATTCTCTGAGAGAAGGGGTCAGTGGAAGGCAGCAACACAATCCCAGGAGTTCTTCAGAACCCTTCAACGGTATTACAGCAATGCATACATGGATGCTGAGAAACAGGATGCAATTAATGTGTAAGTTGTACATTCTGTCTTATTCTCATACTGCTTGATAAAAGCACAGGCTATCTTTGATAAGAGCTTATGCTGTCTTTAGTTGTACCAAATATAAAAGTTGGATTAATATGATGCGACTTTTTGAGCTAATTGAGGATTTTTATGTATTGATAAGATGGCCAATTTGTTCACTGACCTCTGAAATATTGTGGTTTGTGCTAGTTCAAGGGAAGAGTTGGTGGGCATTGAGATAATTAGATTATTTCGTTGTCTTTATTTTCTCAGCTTGATCATCCTCAAGTGATTTGCTGCAATTGTTCTATCAATAATGACTGTAACAACTATAACTTGAGCAGATTCTTGGGGCACATCCAACCACAACAGGGTAAACCTGCAATCTGGAAGTTGGATTCTGACCAGCATCACAATGTTGGAAGGAATGGACAAACCAATGTGGATGAAGATGCAAGGTATTTAGCTAGCCAGACAAGAACTTTATAAATTACACATCACAGATGATACATGTAAACGTGTTTCTCCATTCATTGCTTCACCATTCCTGATCAATCTGACTGTATCTCAATCTGCTTGAATTATTTTTGAATGGTCAATGTTTTAAGCAAAAGTATAATGCACGGGCATAGTGTTTAACAAATTTCTGCATCATTTGTGCTTGAGAGAATGCAAAAAAATGCATTGATGTGTTACCTCTCATGTACATCTGTCAGATTTCACGATTCCATTTTCTTTTTTCTTTTCTTTTTATGGGCCGGGAGGGGGGGATTATTTGACTAGATTTGTAGCTTTGTCTTATCCTTTTGACTGTCAAATTTTTATATTTAGGTCTATTTCCAAAAGGTCATTATCTGATGGAAATATTATTTGGGGAAGTGGCTCACCTTTGTCAGACATGAATGCGAGGCAGCAGAAATTTTGCAGATCAGCTTTTCCAGATCAATTTCAAGAGGAAAACAATGTTCTTTCAGAATCATCACCTGAAATATCTACATGTGAAAGTGACATTGCATTTTCAAGGTATGATTGCTTCACCTTCTATGTCTTTCTTGGAATAAATCGATTGTTTCTTAGAAGATCCATGTTTTTTTTTTTTTTTTTCCTATTAGTGATGGTACTCTGTTGAAAAGGAGGAAATCTTTCATTTGTAGTAAAAGTTGAATTTTGTTCAGTGCTTCTATTAAATGAATTCTCAGTTGTTCTTATAAACATTGTTCTTAAAGCTATTCTTGATTATGCTGCAATGAAAGTGATCTTTAACATTTAGTTTCTCTAATTTTTTGCTCTTTGATGTGATGAAATATATTTAATTTGTTCTGTTTTGTGCTGCATTGAAATCCATCTTCCAAAAATGTTGATATGGTCTACTACGAGATATCATCAGTATTTTCCATTTCTTGTGTCATTTCTCATTCTTGCATTACAACATTTAGTTACCAAAAATAATTGCATGCATGTTTGCTTCGTGAAAGTGATGCAAAGTTTTCCTTGCATGGAAAAGCCAAGGGACTGTTTAAAACAGTGTATTACTTCAATTTTCTAGAAAACTGGAGGGAAAATTGGTGTATAAGAACGAAAATAGAAACTTTCTTTTCAAATGCAATATTTTTCTATCTAGAAAACTGGAAAACTAGTTTTCCAGTTTTTCAAATACCGAGTTTGGAAAACACTTTTTAGAAGTTCTTCACATTTTTCCTTTACAAGTTTTCTACTCTTTTCAAATGAAGAAAAGACATGAACACTATTATTATTATTATTTTTAATATACAAGCACTTCTTAGCAACATAAAATATTAGAATGATTTTTTTTACATTTTAATGTTACTGTCATAAATTTAATTTTTATTATAAATTTAATTTTTTTTTTCAAGTGATTTGTTCGATTGAATAGAATTAGGCTATATGATTTTTATTCATATCACTAAGGGGTATTTATACATGATATATATCAACCATTTAGGTAAGTAAATAAGTAAAAATATAGGAGTAAAAATTTAAGCTAAAAATCAGCTAATTAATCTGACAGCTGTATACATTAACTCCCCCCCACAAGCTGGTACATAGATATCACACATGCCTAACTTGGATAACGATATACGGAGGGGACCACTAGTGATAACATGTGTCGTTATATCAGCCAGCTGATCCACTCTTCCACTCTTTTAATATCAACTACACTAGAGTCAGATTGTTGTTGATGTAGTTTCTGTCAAGTTTAATATGTTTGGCCACACAATGCTGAACCAGATTGTTGGCAATCTTAATAACCATTTTGTTGTCACTACATCGATTTTTTTGGACCGTACCCTAGTTCACCCAAGAGAATTTGAAGCTGAGTAAGATTTGTAATCGCTTGATAGAGGGCATGATACTTGTACACTAGATAATGATATCATAGTTTGTTTTTTAGTCCACGTTACTAGGTTATCTCTAATAATGACACATACCTTGAAATAGATTTTCTATTGAATGTGAATTTAGCAAAATTATAATTAGTATTTTCTATAATATCCTTATGGTTATGTTAAGAGAATATAACACCTTTACCTTGAGAGGATTTTAAGCAAGTCAATTTACAATTCAGTACTGCCAACTACCATCTCAACTCAATAGTTTAGGCTATTAAGTGAGGTCCAAAGATATGATTTATATTATTTTCTAACACACCCCTTCAATTAGCAGCTTTTTGGGCTTGAAACTTACACTGGTCCACACTACTTTGTGCTTAATTTTTATCGAATAAATAGGGATGGTGAGATTCGAACTTATGACCACTTGGTTATTAAGGCTCTGATACAATGTCAAAGAATGATCTCAACCCAATAGCTTAAGTTATTAGGTGAGGTTCCATGATATAATTTATATTATTCTCTAATAACTACATCTATATGTTAGTTACTCAGATTATACACGAATTGGCATAGAACACTAACTGCATGTGTTAGGTTTGGTATGAGCTAGATGGATTAGCTTCCTTATCAACCTTTGATACCATTTTTTATCTGTTAGAACCTCATCCAAGTAGAAAGCAAGACCATGGTTTATCTCAATAGGAGTATCCACAAGTTCATAGGTAGAGTTACTAGTTTTAGTCAAGTGATCTAATATACATTTCCTCTAAGAGAGAAAAAGTCCTTGCTTGAATCTAGATACTTCAATGCCCATTAAACATTTTAAAATTTGTAAGTCCATCTCAAATTTCTTGGCCAAGTAGTTTTAACGCTTCTCTATCTTAGTTATATCATTTTATGTAACAATCATGTCATAAACATAAACAATAAGCAATATAATAGTCACCTTCCCTTTTATAGAATAAAGTGTGATTTGACAAGGCTGGTTACTTATTCATTGACTGGTTTAATCTATGGAACTAAGGCCTCGATAACTACTTTTACTTGCTATCATAAATCTTAGAAAGGGTCCGTATACATCTCTTTCACCATATCATCATAAAGAAAGGTCTTCTTCACATCAAGTTGTTGTAATGACCAATCCAAGTTAACTACAAGAGAGAGTAGGACTCTTACTGGTGTTCATCTTGGCCTTATGAGCAAAAGTCTCAATAGTCAATCCTGTGTATCCCTTAGCAACCAATCTAGTTTTGCACTTGTCAACTATCTCATCTAATATGTACCTCACCGTGAACACTCATTTACATTCTATTGCTTTTTTTGCCTAAGGTAACCCGACCATCTTCTTGGTAAAGTTCTTGTAGAGTGCCTTCATTTCTTTTACCATAGCAGAATGCCACTTATTCCACTTATTGTCTCTAAAAGCTTCCTAAAAATAACTAGGAATAGACATATAGGACAACTAAATGGCAAAAGATAAGTGAGATTTAGACAAACAATGATAAAAGACAAAATTATATATAAGATAAATGATGTTAATAGATTATTTGAAAAAACAAAATCTACTATGCTATTTACGATAATGAAAGGGATATCTCTGAATGGCGGCCTCTAAATGTACATGTTATGAATTTATAGAAGAAAGGGACACATTCTTCGGGGTCAATCTCAAAAAAGTCCTGATGGCATAGTAATATCATCAAAAAGAATAATGGAGTCAAAAGTCAATTAAGCGAGTCTTTCATCCCTACCCTCTTCAGGTTCAAATGCAACTTTTTTTATAAGATCAAAAGATATCTCCCTCTTATCCAAAGTAATTGAATACCCTCCTCCCTGAAATCCACCATCTCTTTTCTTCCAACCATAGATGTTCTTCCTTGCCACTAATCTCCCTTGAAAAAGGAATGAGAGACACATCCATAAAAAAATGAGACACTTGGTCACAAAACTGAATATCCATGGAAAAGTACTTGTCCATAGAGGGATGAAAACTCATGTATTTTTTTAGAATTAGATTTTAGTAAATATACTAAGTTTATCCTAGTGCAATCATTAATAAATGGAATAAAATATTTATGACCTAAAGCAGAAGCGATAAAAAAAAACCACACATGAAAAAGAATTTGAACTTTTATTGAAATTAACTAAAAAAGAACACTATGATTTTTAACATAAATGCATTGCTCATTTTGTTAACTAGAAATAGAAATCTCACTGCATAACTTGGGAAATTAACATTTTGAATAAGCAAATGAAGGACTCAATCACCAATGCCATTACAAAATAAATTTCCCTAGCATAATTCTCCTCATGCACTTCAAACCATTGGTTGGCCTAGGAATGTAATGCCCCAACTTCCTCTAAGTGGTAAAGACCTCTCTCCCTATTAGTGCCAATGTAATGCCCTAACACATGGTGAATGTTTGGTGAGTTGGCTAATTAAGAGAGGATTATTAGAAAGAGTAGGAGTAAGTAAATCAGAAGACATGGAAAGAATGGGAGAGAGTGAGGCATTCCCGACCTCAGTAATTAGCATCGGAGCCTCACTAGCAACCTCAACAAACTTGACCACATTAGCAAATGAAATAAGGAAGAATTTCTAGTCATGTGATTAGTATCCCCTAAATCAATAATCCAAGTGTTAGTAGAAAATGGGAAGCAAAAGATTAAGATGTGTCGGTAGCAGCAATCTGGGAGGACTTCCTTTTCTTTGTTCATATTGCTGAGGGTATTTATACCGGATATATATCAACCATTTAGATAAGTCAACTATACAATTGAATAGGATAAAATCTAGGAGCTAAAAGTTAGGCTAAAACTCAGCTAATCAATTTGACAGCTGTAAACTTTAACTGTATCACTTGTTGAATCCCTCCTTGACTACGTTAGTGTTGCTATTATGTTAACTGATGTTCCCTATTTCACATACTAGTTGTTCATTGCTACATGTAGGTACACCCCCTCAATGCCTCGCAGACAGCTTTTCAGATATGTGCAAAGAGATCACTACCTGGAAAGTGATCATATTTTCTTCTCTGGACATGGAGATACATTTAATTGCTCAAACTTTGTTGATATAGACTGGCTGTCTTCCTCTGGAAACTCATGTGAAGAAGAGCCATTTGAGAGGTATTTTTTTATCAATCATGAGGATGGATAGTGCTGTTGTGAAATTTTATGGAACAGAAGTATGAAACTGCTGAGCATGAAAGTATTTATTTGTTAGAAAATGCCAAAAAATAGGGCTTGGTTTAACAAAAAAGGTGTTATGTATGAGTGCGCGCTTCTGTCACATCATGCCCTAAGCTGGAACTAGTGATTATAGTTTCCTTCATCATGTTTTGATGTTTGTGCAGGTCATCATTACTCACGAACTATCCAACTGGTGGTCTGTCATCTGAAAATGTCAATGGAATAACGGGTGAAACATCCCCATCCACAATTGAATATGGATCCAGCACGAAGGTCAGTTCCCTCCACCATTCTGTTGGTGCATCTTGCATGGTTTCTTAGTAATTCAACAATAGCTAGATATTAAGTGGAGTCAAACTCTGGCCAAACCCATAAATTAGCTCCTATGTGTGCAACAATTGATTGAGTGAGCTGTCATGTTTTTATTTTTCCAGTCAAATTACAAACTTTGCCTCATTTTATTTTATAATGTTAGCTCAATTGCAAAAAGTAATTGCCATTAAACTACACCACTAAGACTACTTTATAGGCTGCCTTGTTATTTTTAATTTGGCATATCAATATTGATTGCATAATTAATAACAAACTACACCAACATCAGTCTCCATTTTCAATTCTCATTGCCACAACGTTCATGTTTTTGTTTCTTTTTTATTTTGTTGACTCCTATTGATACTCCAGCCAATTCTCTCAAAATGTCATAATAGCATTTTACCATCCATTTGTAACTGCCAGTGCTCCTCCTTCACTTCACTGGCTTTACCTCCTATTTTTGGAGTGCAAACACAGTCCCAAACCTCATCCAACCTTACACAGGAGCTTATAAGTGTTGTTAAAACCAACAATGCATCACCTCTTTGAACCACAATCATCCTCACTATCGGCTACTCAATTCCCCTATTCAGATGATGACCTGAGATATTGTCACATTCATCAATCAACATCCCAGCTCAAGAAAGACTAGTTCTTAAAATGAACCCTTTCAAATCACCAAAGCCAACGTTGCTGCCTCAAAATTGATTTCTCCCTCAAAACTTTCAAGCTTTGTGTGATTTTAAGCCTGCCAGGATTCTTTGCAAAGCACTTTTCATCATTGATGACAACAATCGGGGTTGTAGAAGTAACATGATCAAATTGAACATGGATAGCAGAGGCCATGTTCAATACCCAGTTGAAAACAACTGACTTGTTTGTTTCTCAGTTTAAATGGTCATAATCATTGATCTTTAGAGTTTTGGCATGATGACGAGAAACATCCCAAACTGGATGTGCTAGAACTGAATGCATGGCTGACAGTGTCTTTGATGACAATGCTGCTGAGGTGGAAAAATGGTGAAATCCGATGGTCGTGACAGTGCATAAATTGTTTATGAAATGTCAGAAATGGGTTTTGCAGACTATTGTGCGATGGTTTAGATGAGATTTTTTATCCAATCGAACTGCCATTCAATTTTTGTGCATAAGGTTTATGGAGGGTGCATTGCCTTGTCATCATTTCTTATAAGTGGGTCTCATGTCATCGTGTCATGTTGCCTCATTGTTTCTACATTACCTTTTGTTTCCCATTAAATATGCCAGTCAGGCAAATTGGGCAAAATGTGGCCATTAATTACAGTTCAACAAGAAAATAGACAACATTGTTGAACCAACCAGTTGATGTAAAAAGAAGGGGCAATTTATAGGCCCTTGCTACGATAAATAACTTGTTATTTTCAGTCAACAGAAAGTGCTGAGTTGCAAAGAAACAAGTAATGAACAGTATTTCTCCTAGCATTGCTTTTACTGAAAATTGAATTGGAAGAACTTTGAGGTTGTAGCATTACTTTTAACTGAATGTTGAGTTGAAAAAACTGAGGTTGTCTTTCTAGGAACATTTTACGTTCTTGAAGAATTTCCATAATTTATATGATTGGCCAAACTAAATGATATATCTGGACATGACTCGCAATGATATATCTGAATTTCCCCTTGGGGTTCTATATGACAATTTCGTAAATTAAAATTATAGAAGGTTGATGAACTTAATTTACAGAAATTCACAATGACATGGTTAGAATATTTAAAAGATGTTAACTGCATCTGTCTGTCTCTGTTTTTTTTTTTTTTTTAATTCCAGAAAAGTTCAACCCTACTTTCATGTTTCCTGCTTTGTAGGGAATTCAGCGATCAGGAATGGAGCTATCGTATAGTAATCCAGCAAATTCCAATGTGCTCAAGCAGTTTTCAGATAGCTTTGTGCAATGGGTAAATGACGGAGAGACACTGCCATTGAAGTTGAGCTCATTTTCCCCCGAGTTATAATATATTTCAACCTCTTTAGGTTCAACCTGCTCTGAGATGCTTTTCAATTGATATAAAGAGGTTGCTGAGAGGGCAGAGAGATAAATGAAGGGCACCCGTATCGGCATTCTTCCGTAAAATATAGAAAAGTTCGCTCAGCCGTTGTGCGGCATGGATTCCACCATGGAAACCTCTATGGAACCTGATACCAAAATACAAGAGAGTAAATAGCCAACAGTTGAAAGAACATACTTTTTGGAGCTCTTCCCTCTTCTCATTCCTTACTAGCCTGTGGACCTTGTAGGTTTTCGTTCGTGTAAATATCTTAACCGTGCTCAATGAGAGCCCCGTGTGTAGAAGAATTGAAGATCATCGATTCTTTATTTCCCTTCATGTTTATTCGCGGGGCAGTTGTGATACTAACAACTCATGAATGTGAAGTGTTTGGAGGAAAGTAGTACGATTATTATCGGACTGATGTTGTCCTAGAGCCATCCAAATTCTAAAGCCTCATTTCTGGTTGGTTGATTGTGAAAGACAACATTTAGTTGAACTTGAATTTGTGCTCGTCTGCAGCTCTTTTGTTGTTGTTATTATTATTATTGTTATTGAGGAAAAACTATCAAACAGCATTTAAATGAATTTGTCAATATGTGAAGCGGTTTGCAAGTGCGGGCGAAACATTCGACAGTTATCAACGATTTCTTTTCTTCTATACAGGCATGTCAACTCACAGGCTACAGCCACGATCAACTTCAGAACCAAACACACGGGGAAGAAATAAATTGTGTTTACCCAAGACCAATGGTTTCTTGTTAATTAATTGATATCAAACCAGAATTTTCTTTGCATCTTCAATCCTCACGCATCACGTTTGCGTGTGAAAAGCACACATCTCGGTGCCTGCCGGCTTGATGAACATCATATGTACCTCACACACTTCTGCCTCGTTATATTTCTCCACAACTATGCAAGCTTGAAACGAAAATTTAGGGCCTCAAAGCAGCCAGCATATATGAAACATCATGCACATTCTGGCAATGCAATGAATTGGAAGATGGATGCAAGGGGAACATTCAGAGCCAGCTTCTCAATGTGCCAAAAGAGCCACTAAGTTGTCATCCACTCAGGTAAAATTCTAGATTTTGAATTACAATACGAGAACTGGCTGCAATTGGGTTCAAAATTGCATTGTCTTGCTAACGTCTAAATCAAAGTTCTGCATCCAAGGCACAACACATGCAAAAGAGAGAAGATTCATTCATTACTAGGTTTATCAATTATGCCCTCCGTTGTTTCGACTAAATCCCATTATACTGAACAAACAAGCCATGGGAGTGTTGCCGCAGCACCAAAATGACTTAACATCTATGCAAAGTTACTGAGAGCTAGTAGTAGCAGCCCAACTTAGAGTCCCGGAGCTTTTGCTGAAAAGAGGAACCAAATAAAAAATCCCTAACCCCTCGAAAGGGGTCAACCAAGAATGGGGAAGATGCGGGCAACATGCTCTAAAGGAATGCTATCTGCAGTGTTCTTCTTAAGCTCAGGATGATTAAATTCATTACTCGGTAGGACAATGAGTTGTCCCCGCCCATGGCTCTTCTCCAATATCCAACCACAATTGGCCACCTGCTGTTCTAGGAACTTGTCCAAGGATAGACCTTCAATGTTGATTGCCTGCCACATACATGCCCAGTTAAGTAAGATTTTGGCATGGATGAGTTCAATGACAGTTTTAGCTCCTAAACTATTGAGGTTGCGGCACAAAGAAACTTGTGCTATTAATTTGATCATTTTTTTCCTTGAAGTAATATGATATGGACAATATCGTCTCTGTTTAAATTGGTTGTTGGGTCAACAGATAAAACTTTGACCTTGATCAAAACTCATCCTAAAAACTTCATTTTCAAGTATCTTCAACTGAAATTTTTATAGATGATAATGAAAATTCAATCCGCATTCACAAATAATTCAGGGGTAAAACATGTCATTAAACCTGCATAGATGACATAACTGGCAGCTGGTCTAGACAGAATATAGTTATAACTTCTTGGAATCTTTCTTATCACACCAAATGAAATTAGACACAGAAGATAAGCACAGTATTTGGGAAAAAACATGAAGCTAACCATCAAACAAATAGTCTATGCCAAAACCATCTCTAATTTAATGCGGGGCTACAACATGCTTTCATCCTTTGTAAATAATAAAAGCTTTTCACCACCAATTTCATGCTATCAAACAAATCATACAGAGAAGACACAAAAATAAAGCAAAGCTCAACATATATATTGCATCAAAATGCAAAGCATGAAATAGAAGCATACCTCAGCTAGCACAGACCTAGGGACCTTTTGATAAGTCAAAGAAAGCAGGTGAATTGTATACGCTTGGATTGCTTGCTCAAAACCTGCATTCCGACCTCTCATAAGACAAAGCACACAGTAGACAAACATACAAAAGAGAGACAAAAGGTGGCATCAATAAAAATAGTAGGGGCCATATTAATCGCTGACTTGGTAACAAAAGCACGGCAAGTTAAACTCCCTTTATTTCTAGAGCTGAAAGAAGAGCACGACACTGTACACTAATCAACAACTACTACAACACATAATTACCAATGCAAGTACATGCGAGCACAAGCTCACTTACATGACAGATTTTCCCCTAGCACCTGTATCTATATAGAAGAGTAATCATGTCCACAAACATACTACTACATCTGCCAATTTGTTTGCTCCTGTGTGTGAATGGAATACCCTAGTCATATGTAAAGATGATCTAATACCTCTCAAATGTTAGTTCTTTGAACTTTACATGTCTATCTAGACAACTAGGCAGCAAAAGGTAAACAAAAGAAACTATCAAAAAATTCATTAAAACCTGGGACAGCTTCAACTATGTGGCGACTCTTAGCAGCTTCATCCCAGAATTGACGGAACCTTCCTGTCTGCAGATGAAGAAGTAGGTGCTTTACAATTCATCTATTTTACACAATTGTACAAGTCCAGTAACAGAATCAGAGATGTACCTCCAAATAATGTGAGAGAACAATCAGTGTCTTGAACTGTTCCTCCATTTGCTGAAAGATACATTGCATGGATAAATTAAATTACCAGAAAACCAGCATACCAACTATATTTTCAAAGGAACTCAGAAAAAAGCCCAAAACTAACAGACCAACTTAAAAGAAAATGAAAGCAAAATGATTTCAGAATCTGACATGTTACATGCTAACTCATCCAAAGATAGCAGACCAACCCAACCCGTGATCACAAACACACACACACATGTAAGCTCATAAAAGAAAATAGTGAACCAATGTATAACTTTGAGCAATAATCCCTGATACTAAACAACTGGATGTCATTTATAACTTGCCACATAACAAATTGAATCCCGTGATAAAGCACGCTCACATGTACTTGTATGACCCTGTGTCACATCTAAATGCATACGAGATTTCACACATGTATAAAAAGAAGAAAAAAATAAAGTAACAGAAAGAAAGATACCACTCGCTCCGGAATCAAAAAGAGACAAAGGCTGAAATCAGGAGCTGGCATTGCCATGAGTGCCTGTTCCAAAAGGGAAGACACAAGCAAGCATTACAATCACATGCCAACAATCTACCAAAGTCATACAAGCTTAAGGGAGGGCTTAAACGGACCTTGACGAGAATGCGAGCCACGATTTGGGTGCTCATTCTCTCCGGCTCAAACTGAAATAATTAATTAATAGATAGATAATAAAGCATCCACTCATATCAAATCTACGTCAGGATTACTGGACCAATAAATACCTGATAGAGGCGAAGAAGGCAAAGATTTGCATCTAGGCTGTATGTTTGCGACGAAACCTGGATTTCATTTGTTTATGTTTTTAAACCAACAAAATAAAAAGAGCAAAGAAAGAATTGAAAAGAACAAAAAAGGAGCGAAGAGAGAAAAAGAGACCTGTTCGTTAACGTAGTTTTCGAGATCGGGAAGGATGTCAGGATTGTAGGGATTGACGGCAACCAGCTGCTCCACTGTGTATGAGATTGCTTCTTTTTCTGATTTATTTGGAACCTCTCTTTCCCTTCCCATTTTTTTCTTATTTTTTTCTTAGATAATTATTTATCAGTTATTGGATTTAATCTTTGAGACAGATTTCGGAGAGCAAGAGAGATACAGAAAGAGGGATTCCGAAGATCATAATCTGAAGAAGAAGAAGAAAAGGGTTTTTTTTAGGGTACGGTACAAAAACGTTAGGCTGGCAATAATTACTCTAAAAGACCTATGTACCCCTGTCCACCACCTCTTTTTCCTTTTATTTTCCTTTTATAGGTTTTTTTCTTTTACTATTTTTTTATTATTATTATTCTTTCTTTATTCTTTATAGAAGTTACTAGGGTATCTGTGAATATATTACGTCGGGTTTTGATTTATAATTTTATTTAACTTAATTACTGATATTTTATCTATTTAATTTTTTTTATTCAAGCGCGTTGGATTGAAATTTTATAGATATTCAAGGGTGAGATATATTAATTTCTTTAATTTTTAATGATTTAAAAAAAATACCGGTTTACAACTATTAAAATGATAAAAATTTTAAAATACATATATTATAAACAACATAAAAACTATCATAATTTTTATATATATAAACAAAACAAAAATTATAGTTAAATATTTTATTATACAATTATATTGTAACATGATACAAAGACAAACTAGCATAAAGAGAATATAAAATGTTTTTAGGTTTGTGATTTGACTAATAAAATAAAACTTTAATTTTATTTTTGAAATTTTTATTTATTTTCTCATAATTTTTAGGTTCCTAAAAAAAAATTAGAATTGTAAAATGTATTGTTATTTTTTTACATCAAATTTTAAAATCAACTACTATAATTTATGTAAAAGTGAGAAATATAAAGAATGAATGAATGAAAAGTAGCTGTAAGTATAAGTGTGAACGTGAGAGAGGAAAAAAAAAAGAATAAAAAATATTATTTATATAAAAACACTCAGGGTATATATATTAGATTATACAATGAGGTCAAGTTAAGCTATTTAAATATTTATTTAGTAAGTTTTTGATTTATTATTATTTATAATATTTATATTATTCAACTTTAATAGATTGAGTTAAGTTAAATAATACAAATATTATATATAAACCCTTTTTTTTTAACACCCAAATTACAAACACATTCATAAAAAAACATCTCACTTCCTTTTTACATGACATTTAAAAAACAAAAAACAAAAATAAAATACTAGAATAGATGGTGTTTCATTGTTCATCATTCACTAAAAAAATATAAATATAAAACCCATGGTGTTTATTAATATTTTGATCATATAATTTTTTTATTATTTAATTTTAATTTTATCTTTTCATGTTATGTTGATTGAAGATTAAATTTTATAATTTATTTTATATTATTTTTATAATATTATTACAGTTTTAAAAAATCATCCAAATATTAGGTTAGTTTTTAGTTTTGCAAAAAAAATCCATTTTATTATTTTTAAAAGATTGAAAATGAGGGGGGGAATTGATGGCGAGAAAAAATGCAAGCCTTTTTTTCTCTTTTAACATTGTTAATTCAATATCTTTTTAAAGATCTTTTCCTTTGTATTTTTTCAATT